TGATTTGCATTATGGGACCTTGAAAAACTTTTAACCTTAAAAAGTTGGAAAAAGTGACCTTTATGAACATTTTTAATAGTTTAAAAGTACTATATTGTCTGGATTGGTGTTATGTTTCATGTTGCAAAACCCTTGTAATAAACTGCCAGTACAGTTTCTGTTATTTTCCAGAATTATTTCTCTATATATTATTTATTATACATATTATATTATCATATCAAACTACTAAAATGTCAATAAAAGTCACTTTGTTCAACTGTAGGGTTGAATTTTTAACATCAAAAGTCGAATGAGCAAAGGTCAACGCACCGTTAAAGCAATTCACAACAATAAATAAACGGAAAATTTGGTGAATCACAAAATACAGAAACTATTAATTAACAGATATTTTTACAGTGTAGAATAAAATAAATATTAACATTTTACTAAAACTAAGAACGAATAAATCTAGTAAATGTATGTTTAGTTGCTGTATATTATCAGAAGGTTGACCTTGGATATATAAACCTGTTGTAAAAAAATATCTGTTAAATAACAGTTTCCGTATTTTGTGATTCACAAGTGTTTATTTACGGTTGAAAATTGCACTATGGGAGCTTAATCTCTGCTCTGTCGACTTTTGATGTTGTAAAAATCAACTCTACAGTTAAACAAAGTGACTTATTTACATTTTAGTAGTTTGAAATAATAAAATATATACAAAGTAATATATAGAGAAGTAAGTCGGTAAAATAATAGAAAATGCACTGGCAGTGTATTACAAGGTTTATGTAGCGTTATATACACAGACCCAGACCCAAAACCCAGACAATTTATCACTTTAAACTATTAAAAATGGTAATAAAAGTAACTTTTTAAAAAACTTTTCAAGGTTAAAAGTTGTTGGACGACTATATAATGAAAAGATGAGACTGAAGATGTGCAAAAGCATTACAACATATTTAGATATGTATATTTAGAGGTTACTTAACCTATCACCTCTGTAATTTGAGGCAACTACAGTGTAACACAATGTAACTTGATGTACAAATATATTTAATTATTATTTATTTATTTATTTTACTTATTTTCTTTTAATTAATATTATTATTATTTATTATATATATATATATATATATATATATATATATATATATATATATATATATATATATATATATATATATATATATATATATATATATATATATATATATATCATTTCATTATAATTTCATTTTCCTATGTACTCCCTCATCTGTAAGGGGCTAAATTGTTGGGGAAGGGGTTGTTCTGGAAAAATATATATTAAAAAATTTTAAATAAAAATTTCCAAAAAAAAAAAAAGTTGTTGGACGAAAGATCAAGGTCCTATGAAGCAATTCAAAAGCATAAATAAACAGGGAAATTAAAAATATGAATCACAAAATAAGAAAAACCACTCATTTACAGATATTTTAGAAGACTGTAATAAAAAAGTATCTCTTTCCTCACAGACCCAGTAACCTTTGACCCCAACACCGGCCATCCTTACCTGCTGGTGTCGGATGATCTGACCACTATCACATACTCTGACGAACACTTCCAGCAGCTTCCAGCAAACCCCGAAAGATATGACGGCTACACCAGTATTCTCGGTTCTGAGGGCTTCACCGCAGGGTCTCACACCTGGGACGTGGAGGTGGGCGACAACACAGCGTGGGCCATCGGAGTGATCACAGAATCCACTTACAAAAACAGACTCAACCACTTCAGGATGGGCATGTGGTATGTGGGCTTTTGCAATGGTAAATACGGGAAGGGGTATTCTCCAGAGGCCATCACGCTGCTGCGAGTCAGCCAGAAAATTAAGAGGATCAGGGTGAAGCTGGACTGGGATAAGGGTAAAGTCACATTCATCGACTCGGACCGCAATATCAGTCTGCATGTGTTTAAACACACTTTCACAGAGAGAGTGTTTCCTTATTTTTATGTTCACTGTATGAAGCATCCGCTGAGGATCGTACCATTGAAGACTGCAGTGGAAACATAATTATTGCCAATATGAGTTTATTAGAGCTATATGTAAGATTTATATATGTATTATTAATATTTTTGAAAATTTGTGAAGAGTTTGTGGAAAAACAAGTTCCCCAAATTCCTTTTTTAGTCTATAGACTGTTTTTTTAATGTGAACTCAGAATGCATGATGTAGATAATAATGATGTCGTTTTAATTATGAGTTTATAAAGGCAATTTTTCATGTATTATGCCGCGGTCACATTAGAGCTTGCAAAATTCTGTCGTACGGTGCTGCGAAAAAGGGGTGGGATTAAACGAGATGATTAGACTTTTAAAAAAGGGAATGATTGGTCCATATTTTTAATTTCAGTACAGAGGTCATGTATTGATTCTCTATTGGTTTCATGCAGTCACGTGATGCGATTTTGCTGGTCAGAGTTCACCATGCTGGTGAAACTTGTAACTTGAGTTTTCGTTTCCGGTCTGCCGCATTCACATGCGCATGTGCATGGATGGAAGTCAATGGGGTGAAAAAGTGCAGTGTGACCTCGGCTTTAATCATGTGTTATTGACAATTTGTGAAGATTTTGTTAAATAAAAAAAGTGTAAAAATTCCCCAAATTACTTTTATAGTCTATAGACGGATTTTATGTGAACTCAGAATGCATAACATAGATAATAATGATGTTATTTTACATATGAGTTTTAATTATGTCAATTTTTTTTATTAATTATGTGTTATTGATAATTTGTGAACAGTTTGTAAAAAAAACAAAGTGTAAAAATTCCTCAACTTCCTTAGTTGATGTGGACGTCTAAAGACTGATATTTATGTGAACTCAGAATGTGTAATGCCAATTATAAATTGTTGTTTAAATTATATAAGTTCATAAGAGCTATATGTAAGATTTTATGTATTAATTACTTTTTATTAATAATTTGTAGTTTAATATTTTTTTACAGTTTGTAAAAAAAAGTGTAAAAGATTTGGTTGATGTGGAAGTCTATAGACTGATTTTGTGAACTCAGAATGCAAATGTAAATAATTATAGTTGTTTTAATGATAGGACTTTATAAAAGCCATTTTTAACGAATACCCATGTTTTTAAGTAAAAAACTCCCCAGCTTTTATGTAAAGAACTCAGAATATATATCCAGTTGAAGTCAGAATTATTAGCCCTCCTGATTTATTAGCCTCCCTCTTTATTTTTTCCGGAGCGAAGATTTCTTCAACACATTTCTAAACATAATAGTTTAATAACTTTTTTCTAATAAATTATAATAAATATTATTTAAAAAATTATATTAAATATAATAAATTATTATAATTTCTAGTAACTGATTTATTTTTTCTTAACTAGGTTAATTAGGTTAACTAGGCAGGTTAGGGTAATTAGGCATGTTGCTGTATAAAAATGGTTTGTTCTGTAGAGTATCGAAAAAAAGTTAGCTTAAAGGGGCTAATAATTTCGTCCTTAAAATGGTTATTAAAAAAATTAAAAACTGCTTTTATTCTAGCCGAAATAAAGCAAATAAGACTTTCTACTGAAAGGAAAATATTATCAGACATACTGTAAAAATTTCCTTGCTCTGTTAAACATAATTTGGGAAATGTCAAAAGGGGGAAAAATTCAAAGAGGGGCTAATAATTCAGTCTGTTTATGGAGAAGAAAGTATGCATAAACATATTACATACAGCAATGGTTTTTAAGCTCAGTCCTGGAGGTCCAGTGTCCTGCAGATTTTAGCTTTAACCCCAATCAGACACACCTATCTAATCAAGCTCTTACTAGGCTTTCTAGAAACATCCTTGCAGATGTGAGGCAAGTTGAAGCTAAAAATCTGTAGGACACCGGCCCTCCAGGACCGAGTTTAAGAACCCCTGCCATACAGTATTTATCTAAACATTGCTCTCAGCAGCACAGATGAGCCTGGACATTCAATAACACTATAATACTATCATCATTATTATCAAAGAAAACTATTTTCCCATTTGTTTTTACTTCTTCTCAAAGAATGAAAAAGGACTTAGCCTCGCATATAAGTGCACTGAATCCTAGATTCAATAGTACATTATTTTATGAACCCGACAAAAAAGTTTTATGTATTTTGTCACTAAAAATATTGTACTTGTAAAAATATGTGTACTTGATTAAATGATCACCTGCTGTATGACTAAAGTGTGAAATAAGAATAAAGTGACACCAATATTGTGCTTGAAAGGTTTTACTTATTCATGATTTACACAGTAATCATCAGTGCTGTTTGCCATCTCTGTGCCATTTTAGCTCTGTTCCAAAACCTAATGGGTTACAGTACCTGGTCAACCGCCAACCGCCACCTTTAAAGGTGCAATCTATATTACTCCTACAAACAAAGGCATCTGTGGAACCTTTTAGTTTCAAAAAGATTCTTCATGGTGGAAATGGATTCTTGGTTTTGTATGGTTCTTTTCAATAAATGGTCTTTTGAGTAGTCTGGATACAGCTATTTTCAAAACTTTAACCATTTTTTAAGCATCAAATCAAAAAGTTAAAGTCTGTGTCAACCGGAGGTTGCTGCAGGCTCTTTATTTTAGTATGATCATGTATTTTCAAATTTAATAAAATATTTAGTGGGGGGCGGAGTTTAATTTTTGCACTCCTCCTCTCATCCTTCACTTGCAACACAAGAACAGTTCGACGGGCGTGGTAAAGCATATTTCAACCAAGCTATCCAACTGACATCATCAGAGAAGGACAGCCACTGGTTAGTTTTTGATTCAAGATTACAATTTTTTTGACGGGCTCAACTTGCACAAATTAATGATTCCCCTTAAGGCTAAGTATGTGCGGTAACAAAATAAGCATACATTTTGATTTTGTGAGATTTTAAAAACATTTCTGAAGCATAATAACTGCAGACTGAAGTAGTGATAAAGTAGCTTAATTCTCATATTGTGGCACAATTATTGCATCTTTGAGCAAGATTTTTACTAGAACACCATGACTAGCAATATTAAGACCTGATATGACAGATTATAGCTTAGGTGACAGAATTTATTTCGAAATGACCTGCTTAATCTTCACCATCCACAATTGTTGGAGCGACGTACTCAGAATGACGAATTCCAAAGGAGAAGCTGGGAGCTTTGGCTCTTGTGAAGCAAACCTGTTGAAAGAGACAGACGAACGTGTTTTATTATACTAATATTTACTTGAATAGTCTTAGTAGAGAGCAATTCTAAGCTGGAAACTGAATTTGATTAAGGGGTCTTATTTTGCTTATTAATATAGTGTGTACTGTTGCTATTTAAGCAAGAAAAGTATTTTTTCACTCCTCTGGTCACCCCAATAAGATTTTGCTGTTGACATAATTAATTTAAATGCAATTATGTAAATTTACAATAATTCAAGAAAGAAAGAAAGAAAGAAAGAAATTCAAGAAAGAAATTCAAGAAAGAAAGAAAGAAAGAAAGAAAGAAAGAAATTCAAGAAAGAAATTCAAGAAAGAACGAAAGAAAGAACGGAAGAAAGAAAGAAAGAAAGAAAGAAAGAAAGAAAGAAAGAAAGAAAGAAAGAAAGAAAGAAAGAAAGAAAGAAAGAAAATGCATCCACTAAAATTAGCTGGCTGCACCTCTGGGATGAACCGCTAATGTTCAACCGCAGCAAATAAGCTGACTTGACCACAACAATTGTTTGCTTTACATTCATTCATCATTCATTTTCTTGCCGGCTTAGTCCCTTTATTATTCTGGGGTCGCCACAGCGGAATGAACCGCCAACTTATCCAGCAAGTTTTTACGCAGCGGATGCCCCTTCAGCCACAACCCATCTCTGGGAAACATCCACACACACACACACTCATACACTACAGACAATTTAGCCTACTCAATTCACCTGTACCGCATGTCTTTGGACTGTGGGGGAAACCGGAGTACGCGCAGGAAACCCACGCGAACGCAGGGAGAACATGCAAACTCCTGTTTGCGTTACATTATTTTTAAAAGATTAAGGGAAAAGTTCTTATAATTTGTTTAGTATTGTTTGACGAGAGACGAAACATGACTTTTGGTTCACAAGATTGTGCACTTTTTTATTAAGAAATTCTTTAATTGAAAAAAAAAAAGGATTTTAAAATTGGCATTTCAGAATTTAGCTTGTTAAGCACCTCCATTCTTTTGCTGGTTGACTTACAAGAGTCTTTTACAAGGGGATTTTGTGGATGCATATTTTTTAAAAGATACATCAATAGAATCTGTATTATACTGTTGCTCAAAAAGAAATATGGATAAATGATATGGTAAGGGTTTACGTATATAGTAAGTGTGTATATAGTAATGCCTTTTTTCAGTTTGTTTATTTGTCAATATCTGGTCAATATCTGCTAATTTCGCAGATATCTAGTGTCCGTCAATGGTCTCCAGGTCTGACCAAATCACATTGCAACGCTGCTAGTTTCTCCCCAATGTTTTCCAATTTGCGATCTAGTGCGACAGTCTAAGTACCAACAACTCTGCTCACCAACGCTTCAATTCAGTCGGACAGCTTGGTGGGGCTTTGAGCCGCATTGACCGTTTTTATCAAACGTCGATACCCCAGGGTCCTGCCTAAGCACATCAGCAAAAACCCTGTGATCAAAGTTCCAAATAGATAGATATCTTCAATATCCTCCAGGGACAGAGCGGCCAGGCACACGACGTGCAACTTCTCCCATCCATCCATCATGTCTCCAGCTGCAAGGACACCCACTGGACAGTTGGGTTCCCCTGAACCCAGACTTCTCAACGAGAACATGGTGTCAATTGCATTCAGAGACCAGTTGATCAAATCCATAATTTGTTTGGAGAGCAGGCCAAGAAGAGCCTCAGAGAAAGAATAAGATGAGACAAGAGCACCAGGAGAGATATGGAGGGGAAAGGGAAAAAAGTGTGACCGCTTTTGCTGAGAGCCAAAGAAAATATCCGCACAGAGATATCCGCATTGAGTTGACTTTTTTTCAACTGCAGACTTACAGATAATACAGGAAAAACATGAGGTGCAGCAAGTGGTAAAAACACAAGGTGCACAGGATGCATACGCACAGTGCAAAACGATCCCAGCCATTAGTAAACCATTAAAAAAGGCACATCTCAATGCAAAAAAACATGTTTGGTGTGATTAAAGCCTAAATATAAATGTTTGATTTAAAATAGAATTACAACAGTAATATTGTGAAAAATTATTACTACAATTTAAAACAAAGGCTTTCTATTTAAAATTATTTTAAAATGTCATTTATTCCTGTAATGCAGAATTTTCAGCATCACTATTCATTACTCCAGTCTTCAGTGTCAGTGTCACATGATACTACACAAGTCAATGGGGTGAGCAAAATAATCTTAGGTCAAAAGAAAAAACAAGATTATTTTGCTTACCCCATTGGCAGATTATTTTGCTTGTTTTAAGGAAAAACTCACTTAATATTGACATATTATTTCTCAAAACAAGACAATATGTTTTGCTTGTTTAGAAAATGCTTCTTGATGTAAGAATTTTTAGATATTTAGACTAGAAACAAGACAAGAAATATAAGCAAGAAAAGCATTTTTTGCAGTGTTCATATATGATAATTATATGAAAATACCTTTTTCTTATCAATATATTTGATCAGCTGAAAAATTACAGCATCTATTAGTATTAGAAATTGTTAGTAACCGCATGAATTTCACTTTTGAACAATTGATGCTTTTTTAATAAAAGTGGTACAGACCATTTCTGGATAGTGGGCTCCAGGTCCTGGCTTCTTGGTCATGTCTCCAGGCATCATGTTACGACCTGTCATACTGTACTGAGGCCCTTTGTGTTTGTACACACATGGATCCACCACTTGGTACGTCCCTGGGCCTGGAGTCTGAGAAAAAGATTGCAAGTATTCTTTCAAAATACATTTCCCGAAGTATAAGCTGTAAAATGACAGATCTGCACCTTTCGTAGATCTTCATGGAAGCTGCCGATTGCACTACGACCGCTGAAGGAGACGTTTGGGGCAGATGTTTTATTTACAACTTTTGGTCCTAAAACTGGGGGAAGCATGTACGCAGCTGGACCTGGAAATGAGAGAAAGAAGAATCATCTGCTAATGCATAGCAAACACACTTGACGCTGTATAGATCTGATTCTGCATCTACCTGGAGTTTGGTCATTACGGAACAACTTAGTCCTTGCAGATAAGGTGAATGCAGGGGGTGAGAGATAGGTGGCTTTTGTTGCATTTTCAGGAGAGTAACTGCCTGAAAGGTAAATCAAAGCAAGGTTAGCTTAAAGGAACACTCCACATTTTTTTAAAAATAGGCTAATTAGCTTAGCACTATTATTTGTATTAGACCAGGCATGTCCAAACTCTGTCCTGGGCTGCATCCGAAACCGCCTACTACTCAGTAGGTACTGCAATTGAATTTAAACGTACTACTCGGCCGTTAGAAAAGTATGTTCTATGCAGTATGAACGTGAAGAGTATGAATGGAATTCGGACGTACTACATCCGCCATTTTGTCATGGTCACGTGACATACTTGCGTCAATTGCGTCGCTTTACTCCAATTCATGAATTCGCTCGCAGGGCATTATGGGATAGCGCAGCATGCATGAGATGCGCACTCTAGAATCTCGCCAGAAGTAGTAAGTCATCCGGGTACTTCTCGCATACTGATTTTCGAATTATATGAATTCGAACATACTACTCGGCTCGTATACTGATTTTAACGTACTATATAGAATGGAAGTATGCGGTTTCAGACGCAGCCCTGGAGGGCCGGTGTCCAGCAAAGTTTAGCTCCAACCCAAATCAGACACACCTGGGCTTGCAGATGTTAGGCTAGTTGAGGCTAATCAAGAGCTTGAGCTAATCAAGCTCTTACTAGGCTTTCTAGAAACATCCTTGCAGGTGTGTTCAATCAATCAATCAATCAATCAATCAAGCCTTTATTTGTCACTACACTTTCGTATAGCGAAAATTGGACCCCCCAGACCATACACAAAACATCACAAACAACTTTTCAGGGGAGACAGATCTTAGGAGGTAGCATTTAGAAACGAAGAAAGATACATTTGGACAGTTAGGCTAAAAAACACCCCCTCAGCTTGCCCTTGATTAGGACAAAGTGAGAAAAGGGAGAAAAACAGCCCTATCTTAGCATAAGCACACCGGCAAGACACAACATAGACAGAGGGGATGGGAACAGGGGTAATGGAAAACAATCCGTTGAGTGCGGGCAGCCAACTGGCCCAGCAGCCATTTCCGGCGCATGTCACAGCCCCGCCCACGCCCCACGTGGGTAAAAGCACACGAAGGCGAGTTGAGGCAAGTTGGAGCTAAAATCTGCAGGATACCGGCCCTTCGAGTTTGGACACACCATCATTAGCATCTCGCTCAAAAATGACCAAAGAGTTTCAATAGTTTTCTTATTGAAAGCTTGACTTGTTGTTACATCATGTACTAATACCATCCGAAAATGAAAAGTTGCTATTTTTAGATCGAGAAGACTAGGAACTACACTCACTGGCCACTTTAATAGGTACACCTTACTAGTACCAGGTTGGACCCCTTTTGTCTACAGCACTGCCCTAATCCTTCATAGCATGGATTCAACAAGGTAGTGGAAATATTATTCAGAGATTTTTGTCCATATTGGCATGATAGCATCACGCAGTTGCAGCAAATTTGTCGGTTGCAAGTCCATAATGCGAATACCCCATTCAACCAAACCCCAAAGACACTCTATTGAATTGAGTTCTGGTGACTGTGGAGGCCATTTAAGTACAGTGAACTCATTTATGTCTGCTCAAAAAGGTAGACATAAAGAGCTTTTTTCAACGAAAAGTGTAAATCACATAAACTCAAGTTCGCTACTGAATGAGTCCATCATGATAATGCTGCTATTGCTTGTGTTTTTCACCGCTTTTACGGTCAGTCTAATGTTAAAGCAGACTGATATAGTCTGTCAACAATATTCCCTGAAAATTAACTGCAGAATAAACACCTACATGTAAACGTATGACCCTGCTTGTTCTCCTAATCTCTTAGAGTAACATCTCTAATTTTGGT